GGCATTTGCAGTGATATGGAAGTCTCCCCAAGAGTAATTTAAAATGCTCAACAAAGGTAATTTCTGTTGAGTAAGATCCGAGCCCAAATTTGGGAGTTATGATGAATTGAGTAGGAGGAGCCCAATGACGGCAGCTCACTCAATAAAAACCTGTAACTTACTGTCCCAATTTGGAGGTGACTTCACTTGCAGAACAACGAAGGAAGAATCGCAAGTATAAGTTCAGATTAGATTGATCGCCTAATCAAGCCTCTCCGTGAACACGAATCTCTTAGTTCACGCTGAAGCCGCGGAGCGCCCGAAAGGGACTGAAGGAAGGGGACGTAGTCCTATCACTGGTGAGCCCAGCTCATTGAATCGTATTGCTGAGGCCAGCCTATTGAACCGTACTACTGAGGCCAACCCATTAAATCGTACTACTGAGGAATGAAACCATATTTTGGTATTTGGCTTCTCGGAATTCTAGGATTGTAAGTATATTATGAAAAATAACAGTATTGATTCAAATTTAACTTTTAGTTGTAATTGTAGTTGTTTTTGTAACACTAATTCTTATAGCATTGTTTGGGAAGGAAGTGCATTCGGAGCATTGTTTCTGATATATGTAATTATTGTGTTTTTAATGTTTGTGGTGTTTCTTAAAGCTAAGCAGTGTTATATACGTAGCAAAGAGTTTTAAAATAAAATTGTGTTGTATAAATTAAGTGTGTAATCATTGTGAAATCGTGCAATCAGCTAACTACTCCCCCAGCCAGTGCATCAAAACGAATCAGTAAATTGTGTGGGATTTTCTCTATTCCATAACCCACTAGAGACACATTCCATCTAGGTTGCAGGCAGTCTTTTCGGCGAAATTCCTTTACTAGGACCCAATCACCAGGTTTCAAAGCATGGCAGGGAACATCACTTGGAATGGGTAAAGCTGCACTGACCTGTGGAAATAAAGCTTTGACAGTCTTCATGAGTCCTTTGCAATAACTTAACACACTTTCGTGACCTTCTAACAGATCTACTGCTTTAATCTCTTTGATAGGGTTTAAACCCACGTTCATGGGCCTACCAAATAAAATTTTATATGGCGTAAGTCCGTGTTTTCTATTAGGCATGTTCCTGAGATGCATTAGCACAATCAGAAGAATGTCAGGTCAAGAAAGTCCAGTTTGTTTACAAAGTTTGGGTAATTTTGATTTAATATCTCAGTTAATGCGTTCTACCTTCCCTGAGCTTGCTGGATGATAGGGTGTATGAAATTTCCATGAAAATCCTAAAGCTTTACTAAGAACCTTTTGGATTTGAGAAGTAAAATGCGGTCCCTGATCTGAATCTAATGTAAGTGGTATGCCAAATCGTGGAATCAATTTGGTCATTAATTTCTTTGCTACAGAGACTGCATCTGCTCTTCTAGTGGGGTAAGCTTCTGTCCACCCACTGAAGTGACACATGATGACAAGGACACGCTTGAACCCTTTGCTAGGCAGTAAATCAATGAAATCTACTTGTAAGTTTTGAAATGGTCCATAAGACCAGGGAGTGGCACGAGCTTGGACATATGCGGGTTTGCTAATTCCATGTTGCAAGCATATCGCACAAGTTTGTGAGATCCTTTTCGCTTCTGCATGTATAGTGGGTGCATACCAGTATCTTAAAATGTTTTCTGCTACCCCCCTTTTGCACGCATGTCCCATTTCATGGGATGCGCGTGCAAGATGAGGGACAAGGGTTTTAGGGGCAACGATGCGCCCGTCAGGAGACTTCCACAAGGTATCAGAATGTAAGATACAGCCGGCAGAAAGCCACGCACATTTTTCGGATTCTGGAGCTGCATCCTGGAGAAGAGAAATGTTAGAGGTTGAAAGATCAAGGACTAGACACAAAGGAATGGCAAGCGGGGTACCATCAAGGGCTGCATGCTGTGCATGTTTATCTGCACAAGCATTTCCTTGGCTCACATCATCAGAACCTCCTGTATGAGCTTTACAGTGCATAACAGAAATCTGTTTAGGGAGTAAAATGGCATCCAGCAAGGCATTAATTAAAGGAGCATGAGAAATAGGAGAACCAGAAGAGGTAAGGAATCCATGATGCTTCCAAATCTGACCTGTGGAGTGGCACACTTTAAAGGCATAATGGGAATCAGTATAAATATTAACAGACTTATTTTCAGCTAGAATACAAGCACGGGTTAAGGCTATTAGTTCAGCGGGTTGCGCACTCCGGCTACCAGGAAGACTGTGAGCTTCAATGACTGCATGTGGTGAACATACAGCAAAACCAGCACAAAGTTGCCCAGTCGCGTCTCTTTTGCATGAGCCATCTACGAAAAAAATACAATCAGGGTTAACTAGAGGTGTATCTGTGAGATCTGGACACGGGGTAAATACCTGATCTGTCTGAGTAATGCAGTCATGATTTAACAAGTGAGTATCTCCATCGTGCGGTAAAGGTAAAAGAGAAGCAGGGTTTAAAAAATTACAACGAACAGTAGTAACATGATCGGCAGCTAGAATAGTGCGTTCATAAGAAGATAAACTTTGAGAGGACAAGTGTTGAGTTTTCCCGTGATTTAACAAGGCAGAGACAGCATGGGGAACAGCAAGGGTAAGGGGAGATCCTAAAACTATAGCTGCTGATTTTTCTAAAAGTGATGCAGCAGCAGCTACAGCACGCAAACAAGGTGGAAATCCTTGAGCAACAGGGTCAAGCAAGGAAGAAAAGTAAGCACTTGGTTTGTAAGAAGAACCAAAAGGTTGGGTTAGGACTCCAGCAGCAACACCTTCTCTTTCATGACAGTATAGTGTAAAGGGTTTATCATAGTCAGGGCGTCCCAATGCTGGTGCAGAGACTAGTGCAGTTTTTAGGTTAACAAAGGCTTGTTCGTGGTGCTTGGTCCATGGGAGAGGGTTATTAGGAGAATCATCCTTAGTAAGCTCGTTTAAGGGTTTAGCTAGTAAAGAAAAGTTAGGTATCCATTGCCGACAATAAGATGCAGAGCCTAAAAATCCTCTGAGCTGCTTCTTGGTAGTGGGTCTGGGGAGAGAAAGAACAGCAGAAATGCGATCTGCAGTTAGATGTCTATTTCCTTTGGAGATTTCGTGCCCTAGATATATAGCTTTTGGCTGACAAAACTGCAACTTAGCTTTAGAAGCTTTATGACCTTGTTGGGCTAAACATTTCAGGAGCTGAATTGTATCTGTAACACAGGCAATTTCGGTTTCTGAGGCAACCATAAGATCATCAATATACTGAATAAGTACTGAGTTACAAGGCAAAATTATAGTATCTAAATCCTTTTTTAACGCTTGAGAAAATATAGAAGGGCTTTCAGTAAACCCTTGAGGCAAACGTGTCCACGTATATTGCCTTCCTTTGTAGGTAAACGCAAAAAAAAAATTGGGAGGCAGGGTGTACTGGGATAGAGAAAAAGGCAGAACATAAATCAACAACAGAAAAAAAAGTAGCAGAGGCGGGAATCATGCTAAGGATGGTAGAGGGATTAGGCACACAGGATATGAAGGGACAACAAATTGATTAATTTTTCTTAAATCTTGTACAAAACGATAAACAGGTTTTCCATGCTCATCTGTTTTCCCTGGCTTTTTCACGGGTAGGATAGGAGCGTTACAGGGAGAGCGAGTTGGGATTAAAACACCCTGTTGCAAAAGAGCATCAATGACCGGGGCGATACCTTCTTCAGCTTCGTGGGAAAGGGGATACTGATCTATTGCAGGAAAAGGTTTGCATGCATTATATGTTAACTGAACTGGCTCAATGTTCAAGAGTTTCCCCGTTTCATTGAGGTGGGAAGCCCACAAGGACTCTGGAACGTCCAAAAGAGATGGGGAGTTGGAGGAGTCTCCATCTATTTGGTTATTCTCAGGGTCTGTAGAGAACAAGAGCATTAAATTTTGGGTCTGATCAGAGGGCAGATCTAAATATATACCCCCAGGGGAACAGTAGATTGTGGCACCTAATTTACACAGCAAGTCTCTTCCTAACAAGTTTACTGGAGCAGTAGGACTTAACAAAAAGGCATGTTCAGCAGACAGAGGTCCTATTTTAACTAGAGCAGGGTTAGCGTATACATGTGGAATGACCTGACCCCCTACTCCAATTGCATTAACTATTTTAGTTGTAGGCACAAGTTCCTTAGCTTCCTCACACTTTATAGTGGACATAGAGGCTCCCGTATCTACTAAGAAATCATGAGGTTGTTCATTGACCACTATGGTTACACTAGCGTCTTCAGAGGCTTTTACAAGAGAATTTAGAAAGCCCCAGTCAGGAGATACAAAAGCCTCTGAAAACTGTCATTGGGGAGATTTTGGAGAGTGGAAAGCTAGACAGCGGACTGGTTGAGGCCGGTTTGGGCAGTTTGTTTTCCAATGTCCTCTTTGTTTGCAATAATTGCAAATATCATCTGGACGCAGTAGACATTGGGAATGCAGCTGAAAAGGAGGTGCACTTGGTCTGCAGCTAAAATTTGGATGAGAGCTCTGATCGGACGTTGGGGCCCCAGGATAAAAGTCTTTGCGAGGTTGGGCGTATGGGTGAGGATCAGTACGCCATTTTTGTTCTAAATTTTGAATTTTCAAAGCCATTAGGTTAGTCTTAAGTTCTTTTCTTTTTTCCTTTTCCGCCTGCTGTTGTTCCCATAAATCGATACATGCCTGAACAATTTCAGTCTTTTGTTTTCCTTTCCAGCCTAGAACCAACTGCTGTAATTTTTCTTGTAACTTCGGCTGTAAATTCTTTACATAGGTGGTAACTATTAACCCTCGCATGTTGTCTGCAGCAGGATCAATGCCGGTATGTCTTTGGATTGCTGCACAAAGTTGATTTTGAAAATTGGCTGGATGCTCGTCAGGATTTTGTTTGCAAATTTCTACTTTTGTCCAATCTACATGAGTCATACACAAATTCAGAATTTTGCCATGAGGTCTGACTCTGAACATAGGCAGTGAGGGGGTAATATAGAAAATGTGACGTCATAAGCATAGCAACAGTATAAACCAATCAACATTAGCCATGACACAGACAAGTCTGCACATGTCTTCACCTTGTTACTGGAGAAAGGGAAAAAAAAAAATAGTTTAAACCAGCCTGTAACAGCAAGGTCATGACCTGGCTACATGACTCGCTCACAAACAAAATGGCAGACTGAAACCATTTTGTTTTTCCCCTTCATCTCCTCCACCTTGCTCCAAGCGGCAGGTTCTCCTCATCTTCTTCACAACTAGGGTCAGGGACTAGCCACAAAGCCAGGGCTTGGCCTAGGATGGAGCCCCCCCTGTGTCCAGCCCAGGTCAATGCCTCACTCAACTGACAAGGTTCCTCGGGTGAATCTGATATATTTTATTAGACTAACCCAAATATTGGAGAATAGTTATTAAGCAAGCTTTTCGGTTCAAAAACGCTTTGTCAGGCTAAGGAGGTTTCAGCAGTTGGAGTGTGCTCTTCCTGGATGGGATGAAAAGTAAAGAGGCCAGGGGCTGGGCTGGGGAGTCGGTTGCCAGGCAGATTATAATGTGTCAAAAATCCAATGTCTATATTTAGTCCATGATTTTTAGTATCCAGGAGGTTGATGAAATGGAGTTCATAGGCTCATCTCTGGGAAGTGTTGTGTAAGTTTCCTTTGAGGATCAGGACTGAGAGATTGGAGAGAGAGTGGTTTTCTTGTGAGAAATGTGCCCCCACCGGTAATTGGGTATTTCTGTCTTTGATGGATTTCTGGTGTGTGTTCATTCTGGTGCGTAGTTGTTGTTTGGTCTCTCCTACGTATTTTCCACCAGGGGATTTGGTGCATTGGATGAGATATATTACATTTCTGGAGGTGCAGCTGTAAGATCCAGGGATGCTGATGGCTCTGTTGCGGGGCACACTTCACCTTCCTCGGCCCAATGCCAGGAGCCAGGGGGAGCTGGGTCAGCTCAGAGGATGAGCAGGAAAGGGAGCAGGACAAGGTGACACGGGACTGAAAGGGCCCACATGGGCCCCTGACTCCAGTCCCTGAAGAGAGGTAGGGAGGGAGCTACAGGGATCAGGCTGAGAAGGGGCTGGAGTCTGTCCTGCAGCCAGGGAGCCCTTCCCTGTGCCCAGGGGATCTGCGCAAAGCCTGGGGTTTTGTCACAGGGCTGCTTGGCCCCAGGTGGACAAACCCCAACAGAGGCAGCGTTACACCTGTGGCTCCTGGACAGAGGTCAGGGTGTGCGCCCTCCCTGTGCCATAACAAGGTGCATCACTGTCACCGGTGTAACCCAGAAATCCCAGTTGGGAGTCGTGGGTAACTGTCCTCCTCATGCCCTCTTCAACCACCTGGCTCACCCGGCTATTTTGTTGGCTCCCACTGCCCTGGGGCACCTGTGCTTTCAACTCCTGGAGTCTGCAAAGAGTCCGGGCGCTGCCTCTGGCTCTCACGAGTTGCAGATCCTGTGTCCAGCATCCACTCCTGAGTGCTGGGACCTCACGCTCCACCTGCCTCTCCCCTGAGACCAGGAGTGACTCTTCCAACTATGCCGCTCAAGGCGTAAGCGCAGCCTTTCCTCGGGGCTCACTAAGGTGGCAGCTTTCTGGGGAGCCCTGTACTCCTTCGGGGCCACGGGGCAGGGAGAGCACAGGCGTGCACAAAACAGCCTTGCATAGACAACGTGAACACGCATTGTCTATTTCTGTGGCGACTTCTGTCCTTGATGGTGTTAGAGTGATATTGTAGCTATGATGGTTTAGGAGTTATGCGAGACATAAGGAAATTTGGGGGTGATAGCTTTTATTAGGTGCACTGCGTACTGGGATCTAGTTAGAAAGCTTTTGTATACAAGGCATTTGTCTTCAGGCTTATTCTACTCAACAAAAATCCTTGCTGCTCACATTTTTCTTACCCAGGCAGCAACTCGCTCCCATCGTCTGTATTGGCAGACAGGGAGACGCTGCCCCTGTCTTAGATGGGACCAGGAATTAGTTGAGCTCTGCATTAACGCTTATTCTTTCTCCCTTTACAGGGAGGTACAAGGCAACGACAGGTAAGTGCCCTTTACTGGCTTCACTGATTGCCTGCCCTCATTGAAACTCCCAGAAAACCAACCACACATCCCTCCCCACCTCCAGAGAGGCCTCCTAGCAGGGACAGTTCTGTGTGAATGGGCCCATCCCTGCTTGAAGTCCATGACCTGAGCCATGTTTGCAGTGTCTGCTTGGGGCAGTGCTGGGCACTGTGACCCCTGTTGCCTTTCCCACAGCACAAGCAGGGTCAGACCCATGTGCTGTCATGGGGCTGGGAAAGTCCCTGCTGGACTCTCCCAGCAGAGCCAGGGTCAGAGCTGTGGGGCCTGGGCACAGGCCAAGGTGTGGGACCCATCCTCTGCCACCATTCATTGGGTCACTGTTACTGATGTAGACCAGGGGCTCCACAGTCTGGAAACAGACTCACTTCCCCCTACAATGGTCCCGCTCACCTCACTGCCATGCTGTCCCCAGTCGTTACCTCCACCTTAGGGGCTCGAGGCACCTGCGTGGGGTGCAGATTCTGTTTCGCATCGTCTGCAGAGTCCTGGGACCTCATAACCGTTTACTCCAGCCTGGAACAAATCTTGCAGGGGGACACCAAGGGCCTGGATACGAGCCTTGTCAGGAGGATCATTTACTTTGCCTCCAAAGACTTGAGGGAGACCCAGGTGAGTGAGCTCGGCCCAGTTGCTCCACGCAAAGCCTTAGTCTGTGCCCAGATTGTTTGGTCCTGTGCAGCCTGAGCCGATGGTGCATCCCCTGCACGGACCCTGGTTAGAGGCTGCAGTCTCGCTCAAGACTGATTTCCTCCAGATGTTTCTGGAGAGCACGGACAGGATCCAGCCCAGTGCTGAGCTCCTCTGAAACCTGGGCCAGCTCCGGTGCTTGGGCAGCCCAGAGTGCAGAGGTGCTTTACTGGGGGCAGCACCAGCATGCATTGCCCAAGACGTTTCCTGGTCCATGCTGGAGCTGTGTGCTGCAGCCCAGGTGAATTCTGCACTTGAGCAGACAACTAGAGCCGAAATATTGTTCACCCAAGTGTTTCCATTGGTGTTCATGGGTGAGGGCTCTCAAGCAGGGAATTATTAGGGGGATTTGGTGAATTCAGGAGCAGCTTTGCCAGTGTGTAGCTGGTAGGGGGTGTGGG